CACTCTCTCCATCTCCCTGGCTGCCATGACGATTGATCAGGCCCGATCAAGTGTCGAAAAACGAATCTAAAACATCGCAATTTAAATCAAAACTTCCTCGTGGGGAAAAATATGGCGCCAACTCTCTTCTCGCGAAACTTCTCGCGAGATAAACCCTTACAAAAAGTAGTTACCTCACAAAATGCTTTACATTAAAAAACCCTTGCAAAATAGTTGTCCCGATACAAAAACTATATAGCTCAAGCAACTATTACCCTGACCCTGCAGCGGAAGTATTCGCGCTCTGGAGCGGAAGGGAAGTAGCGAGACTGGGAATAAGGTTGGCATTTGCAAGGGTAGCCAACCCAGGGTCGCTACATACCTCCCCTCTGAGAAAAGCCTTTAACCTCAAAATGTACAAAATTATTCACCCTCAAAAATGGTCATCTGCTTGGCCTGGACGGCATATTCTCCAAAATCAAATACCACCAAATGCTGAATATGAGGACCGCCCAGACCAATAACAAACCATTGTACAAAGTTTCATTCAAAAATAACCTAGAAAATTCAACATTTACAATGTCTTTTTCTCAGCATAAAATATACAATTCTCAAACTCAGTGTTCATAACATTAAAATATCACATGCTGACAGTGGTGAAGTCCCGTTCTACAGTTCAAATCCTGGGAGGCGTGCACTCCATCCCGGAACAGCTCAAATCAGTCAAACACAATACTGTCTTGATGTTGAAGCACAGATATAAATGTAGTAGATATTCAGCCATGGATGCCCAATCAGAGCTCATAAACCATACCTTTACAGCTATATGGCTATATGCAGCTATGATGCACAGGTACAAATAAATAGAGGCAGTGCAAGTAACATTCACTGTCCTTCACAATGTATATTAATCATAAGCCAATGGCCCAATCTGGCTCAATTATTTTGTCAGGAACATATAGATCAGCTACCACTAATGACCACAATGATAATTCAATGGAAACGAAAATCCATTTTTCGGAATATATCACGTTGACGATTAATCCAATGGAACACAGTCCATTTTATCGGGATAATCAGCATAAGGTTCATCATTAGCATGATCCATGTAATATTTCGGTAGTAGTATAAGTCTATTCCTCGGTAGTCTCTTCTAATCAGTATTCATAATTCATATAATCGGTAATAGGACACGATCAGTAAAAGTCACTGGCTGGAATAATATATTGTCACAATCGAGGGAGTCATAAGTCGTGTCTACATGCTGCTTTGCGCCATTCCTGGCAGGCGCACTCAGGTGTGAATCATTGCAGACTCCAAGTAGGCCTAATCTGTTTGCCGCCATAATCACAACTGCTGACAGGCGCATCGAGATCACAACCATCCTGAGGCCCGGCCAGGACCTGCCAAGTAGATGTCACAACATGATAAGCTGCCGCAGTCTGGCTTACTGCAACGCAGGAACTCGGGGCCTGTGTAGTAATACGAGCCGGTTCAACCACAGTAGGGCCTTCATGTCAACCTGGAAAACAAAACGCAGTATCAGTTGTCATATCAGTGAGTGAATTCATAATCTGGTGTTTCTGCATAATTTCAGAGAAATATGCCATGTCTTGAAAGGGAGCAAACGTCAGACGTGGCGCTCGATGACAAGTCGCCAGCTCCTCTAGCACAATCAGTAAAGCTCACTATCAGTAGTATCAGTCTATCACAGTCAATTACTACCAGGACTGGACTAGAGTAGGTCATCAAATCTCAACCGCGCACGAGAAACTTGCTGCAGAATTTCACAAATACTTAAACAACAATCAATCAATCAAACAAACAACTCAAAAATCCCGCCGCGACTAACCAATGTAACAGCTCCGGTCTTAATCCCGAAACTGCCACGTACGGGCTGCCCAATCAATCAATTAACCAATCCTACAACAAAGCAACCCGTACAAACAAACAAACAAACTGGACCGAACGAGCAAACAAATGGTAGCGTGGTAAGCTGACCGGTCAAAGCACGTAGTGAATCGGATTTGAGCTGAAAGAGATTGATTGCTTGACTATCTGTAAAGTGCTGCCATCTATGAATAGACACAAAAGTTGGAAACACTAATTGAACAAATATGAATGAAGTTAGGAAGATATCAGAAGTTAATTATAGGGCCATTTTACTGTTATTCCATCTAAACCATCAATCAATGACTACAAACAATTAACACAACAAATCAAGTAAAGTTTTAAAGTTTAATTGTAAATAAATAATGAGATTTGGTTTTACATCAGTTTTATCTATCAAATGAAATCATAGGAAATTACATGGCAGAAAGATTACAAATGACTTAAGTAAGATGGCGGCTATATGAGCGCTTACAATTAAAACAACATCGAGCTTTAAGTAAAGCGATAGTCAAAAGGTGGCGCTGTGAAAAATCTCACCTGCGCGCTGAGCATATCAAAACTAGGCCAGATCTTCCAGCCAAAAATTACATAATTCTCTCAAAGAAAATCAATCACAGTAGATCAACTGTTACAAATAACCCAATCAAATCCAATGTCAAACTCAGATGACTCTCAAAAGTCAAAGACAAAATAAACTGAAAATGATTCACAATATTTCTACAAGTATGCTCAGCACTGCAGTGGAGTTCAAATATAAAAATACAACCTCAATCTTGCGGCCACTCTCTCCATCTCCCTGGCTGCCATGACGATTGATCAGGCCCGATCAAGTGTCGAAAAACGAATCTAAAACATCGCAATTTAAATCAAAACTTCCTCGTGGGGAAAAATATGGCGCCAACTCTCTTCTCGCGAAACTTCTCGCGAGATAAACCCTTACAAAAAGTAGTTACCTCACAAAATGCTTTACATTAAAAAACCCTTGCAAAATAGTTGTCCCGATACAAAAACTATATAGCTCAAGCAACTATTACCCTGACCCTGCAGCGGAAGTATTCGCGCTCTGGAGCGGAAGGGAAGTAGCGAGACTGGGAATAAGGTTGGCATTTGCAAGGGTAGCCAACCCAGGGTCGCTACACATGTTTGAATTGTGAAGAGAAAAAAATATATGTAGGGCTGCAGATGTCCAATTCCTCACTTTTCTAAGTTTTCGCCATTTACAATAAGTGGGAAATTGCCACAAATCATGTAACCTACAGAATATGCATCCATCCGAAGTTCTAACAAAATATAAGTTAATAAAGAGAAAATTGAATTTAACTTTATGGAACACAAAATTGATATCTTCTTCGAGAATATTGGGACAGTTCGGAGGTGCAGAAAATAAAAAAAAACGTTGGGGAGTTAAGGCTGTCAAACCTATAGAGGGATGTATGATATTGAAAAATAATGTATCCTTTTTAAAAACAAATGTTAAAATAAATTATAGAAAAGGTGTCCATTCGCCTGTACTTTTTTCAAAATACCCGTTCATTTGTAATTGTCCGTTCGGCTAATAACCCAATGATCGGATCTAGTACAGAGGCCAATAATTTTTTTCATCGGTTTGCCCCTCTTGATTTTATCTGGACCGCCCCGTAGATTATACGTCAATGGGTCATCTTCACTGGAACCAGACGATATTCTTGTCCGACGCATGAGATATATCATATGCGGCGTTCCCTTTTTGCTTTTGCAAATGTTGAAAATTGAATGCGATTGCAACCCTGGGAGTGTAACATTGCTCAGAGGTACTCAATCCCTTAAAATAATGCATTGGACCACAATTTCATTCGTACCTTATTCACAGAATCGATGGTACAGCTATAGTAACACCAAGTAGTGACACTACGTTATTTCTAAAGGATAAATGTCAAATATTACATTGTTTTTGCGAGACCTCATCGGGGACCTCATCAACTTTGAATAAAAGTTTCATTTTCCCCCTTGGAGCCCCTGGGTTTGAGACCAATCATAATACATTGTACATCTTCTAAATTACCGCGAGTGACAAATTGAATGATTGTATTTTAATTTTCACTTTACAAATATTACATACATTCCTCATGTTACAACAAAGACATATAAAACTGTTTTATATGTCTGGTTACAAAGACAATTGAATATGATGCAGTTTCATGTTACCAGGTTTATCAATCCTATAGTCACTTCACATATAAAAACGTATTTCTCATTTATCCATCAACCAAAATATTGCTGGGGTGTACAGATGGTCTTGATTGCTGTTAGCTAACCGAGGGACGCACAAATTAGCTCGATTACAATTTCCTTGATATCGAATTGAGCTGCATGCCAAAACTAATTAGGTGCATTCCCAAGTAGAAATTCACCAATCAGAAAACGTATATATTTGAAGTAAGACATGCATGATGGGATTGAAAAGGGCGCCGTTTGTTGATTACACTACTCACCTATAGTAACATTCCCGGGGAAAATCCTCCCGGGGACAGATTAATGTTCCCTCTATTGACCAGACTTGGTACTACACTCCACTCCACCTTTTGTAAATAAGGTCCACATATGTGCATCATACTCCATTGTCTTTGTAACCAGACATATAAAACAGTTTTATATGTCTTTGTTGTAACACGAGGAATGTACTATGTAATATTTGTAAAGTGAAAATTAAAATACAATCATTCGATTTGTCACTAGCGGTAATTTAGCAGATGTACAATGTATTATGATTGGTCTCAAACCCAGGGGCTCCAAGGGGAAAGATGAAACATTTATTCAAAGTTGATGAGGTCCCCGATGAGGTCTCGCAAAAACAAATGTAATATTTGACATTTATCCTTTAGAAATAACGTAGTGTTACCAAAAATTCTTTTAAAATCATGCAGTTTTTCATCATTTTGAGCACTTCTCAAGTGATTTTAGCCATATTTGGGCCAAAATTGTCAAATGTGAACCCCCCTGGAAATTTTTGAAAAATGAACCCCCCCTTGGCAAATCCTGGCTACGGGCCTGGAGTATAAGCAAATTAATTATATCAATCATTTAGCTTTGAACACGTGGATGGTTGAGCATACATACCAAAAAGTGAGTTAAATATTGTGAGCGTTTGCATGACGCCATCAAGGCGGTTCGGCCGATATCCAGGCGTTCCGGCCGGTGAAAACCTGGTGAGGGGATGGTATGCGCCAGTTGAGAACACGGCGAGAACGGTAAGCAAGAATTCTGAATCACGGTAAGTCCGGTACTAGGCCGATGAGAAGCCGGTACAGACCCGGAATAGAACGGTATAGTCCCGGTCAAAAATGTATAAAAACAATGCGGCCGTCGCCGTCTGGCCATAATTAGCCAAACGGTGGCGAACGGTGAGCCTACACGGCTAGTGTGACCGCTACTTTAGGTTTAAATTGTTTCCATGCTTTGCAATTTTCAATAAAATCACCTAAAGATACGAAATCACCAAAATAACATTTTAGTGAAACTTTTTGCAAGGGTCAATTTCAATCTGTAGAGTAAAGATGACAACTATTTAAGGAAGACCTTGGGTGAGTTATTGGCTATATAATGCAATGCAGTTATTATGTCACCACTAACAAAAAGGTGGTGACATATTGTTATGGTCTCAATTATTTATGACTGCGATTGGCGATTGACGGGTGGCGATTGGCGATCGGCGTCTGTAAATAACAACAAATACTGTTTAAACGGACTTAATTTTTTTTCAAAATCATCTACAAGTTTTCAGAAGTTGAAATCTAACTAAGACTTAAGATTTTACCTTCAAAGACCTTCTCAATGTGAAAAAAGGTCAAAAAGGTCATTTTTCAACTTGCTTAGAATCAACCAATTTTTTATCAAAAATAGCTACAATTTTTTCAGAATGTCTAATCTGACTCTAGATTTTAGATTTGACATTCAATGCCTTCCTTAATTTAGAAAATCATTTAAAAGGTCAGAAGGTATTTTCTCAACTTTCTGCTCCCAAAGTCAAAAACGATTGGACCTCCAATGACCTTCTCAAGGTCAGAAAAGCTCAAAAAGGTATTTTTCATCTTGCTTCAAATTGACCAATCTTTTTTCCTAATCATGTAAAAAGGTCAAGGGATCTTTTTCAATTTGCCTCAAATTGACCAATTTTTTCAAAATAATTTGCAACTTCTCAAAAGTTCAAATCTGTCTTTAGATTTGAGGTTTGTTCTTCAATAACCTTCTCAAGGTCAAGAAAGATTTGATTTTCAATGACCTTCTCAAGGTAAAAAAAAAGGTATATTTTCAACTTGCTCAAAATTGACCAAATTTGTTTTCAAAATAGATAGATAGATAGATAGATAGATGGCAGTTGATATTGTTGTTTTTTATAACAAAGGCTCCCACAAAAAAGTCGATTATCTAAATAACGTGGACATGTAAACGTCTTTTGTATGAATGTACTTATTCATGAACATCCATGGATTAACAGGACTACCGATATCTTATGACAAAACATGGATTATCGTCGTTTTTCGAAGGTGATAAAACTGTAAGTTATCCTTTACTCTTGAAAACAAGATGGCGTCCGTAAATGGAGCCCACGTATCCCATGAAGCAATAAGTGACTTAGATATTTGCGTGGTTCGTATCTTGTCTAATACTGACTGTATGCCAAGACATGAGGTTACGGAACAACTAGTGCTAGATATTGATGAAACTTTGTTAAATGAATCCAGGAATTTGTTGTTTGATCTTGCGAAGTTGAAGCTGTCGTTACAATGCACGAAAGAATACGGGCCAATTGCCGCAAGAGGCTATGATCAAATTGAAGAGGTTAAACCTAGAAAACGCACCGGTGAAAGAAAAAATGTTAGTTTAGCAAATGACATTTATGACCTCTATTGCTATAAAATGGATTATACTGAATCGTTTCCCAGGAACGTCACCTCTCAAGCAAGCCATATTCCAGAGTTAAAGAGAAAAGCTCAACCCCCGCCAAATGCGCTTGAAATGGGCACGAATCTTAAGGTTATTGAATTAACTGCTGAAGTGGTTGAAATGCGCAAGCAGTTAAAAGAGATAAAAAGGGATCATCAAGTGGAAATTGATAGACTGAATATAACGGTAAACAAGTTAAAAATTGAATTGGGTCAACACACATGTATGTCCCTAAGCCCACGGTACGGAAAAATGCCAATTAGTTTGGACTCTGTTTCGGGTAATAAGCCACTCTCACAGTCAAATACGCGACCTAGAGCCAATTCCGAGCCCGTCCAGACGTATGCTAATGTAATAACAAAGAAATCAGCTGGAAGAGAAACTGCACTTGAAACAAACAATAACAAACCCGAAAAAAACAATAACAATGAAACTGGCTCAAATACAGAGTGTTCAAAAAATGACAAACCCATAGGTCCTATTTCCTCTTCAAAGTCATCTGTTAATGAAACCCATAAACCTGCTCAAGTACCCAATGACACGGTTCCCAATGATGATGAAGGGTTCACGCTCGTAGAACGAGGACGGAACCGGAAAGACTCTGTTACAAGATTTGGTGAAAGGCGACAAGTTAATCTTCAATCCTTAGGGCATTTGAAACAAAGAAGCACATCTAACGCTAAAACGCTCATCACATCCAAAACTCGCACACTTAAAGGAATCGCGTATGAAAAAACTCAGACCCTATATTTGGAAAATGTAGGGGTTGAATATGGTGACACGGATAGTGAAATTGAAGACCTCGTTAGGGAACACATCAAATCAAACATTGGCATAAACGTCACGAAAATGTATGTTGTGCGAAATAAATATTCGACGATTCGCGTAGGGATAAAACTCATAGTTCCCCAATCTGCAGCCAACAAGGCGATAGAATCTGATGCATGGCCACATCCTGTAACGTGCCGTCCGTGGGAATATAAACCGAGCTCACGTGGAAAACGCATCCCTCCCCACATCACATACAGGTCAAACAGATATCGTGACGAACAGGACCCAAGCTCATATGCATATGATGAAGATTACATTAACAACGACGATGCCTACTATAGTGACATACGCGACTCTACTAAAAATTACGAGTCACGATTACATAAATACTCTCTGCGAGCAACAGAGAATAACTGTTCATATTAATTTTTACAACTCAAGTCAGGTAACATTTGTGATGCTTTTTGTCACTTTAGTACTGTTCCTTGTAACACGGTTGTTACGGCCTATGTTCATGGCAGGGCCAGAAACACGTAACATTGTTATAACGTCTTGGAATGCAAATGGGCTCAATGCCTCGAGCCCATACCTTTTTAACCTACTGTGCAAATCTGATATACTATGTTTGAGTGAACATTGGCTCTACCCTGGTGCCTTAAATGTATTAAATAAAGCCCATCCAGATTTCGTATGCATTGCTGAAAGTAGCAACTCTCTTGATCCCTTAAACCAAGGTCACATTATTGGGAATGGAGGAATTGCTATTTTCTGGAGACAATCGCCAGACTTGAATATTGTAAATGTAAAGAAATTCAGATGTGATAGATACATAGTCATTAAGGTTCTGCAGCCTGGCTGTCGCGACTTACACATAATTAGTGTTTATATGCCTCACGCAAATTGTAAAAATGCAAATTTCCTAGAAGTCTTAGATAGACTTGAAATAATAACCGAGGAATTGCAGAATGATGGCGATGTAATTATCACTGGTGATTTTAACGCAGATTTTGGGAATACAGTGGGAACAAGAGGGTCGGGTGAAATCACACAAAATGGCACTCATTTGCTCAACATGTGCACAAGGACAAATCTCGTTCCCATTGATATGTTCCCACAATGTACAGGACCAGTTTATACATTTTTTCGAGACTACACTGGTCAATCCTACATAGACCATTTTTTAGTACCCGAACATGCAATAGGTCAATGTGTTAACGTGAATGTTATTGATAATGAAATGTTAAACCTATCTGACCACCTCCCGATTAAATTAACCGTTTGTCAAAAGCAAGAAGTCTTTTTCAAAAACAAACCTGCTAAAAAGAATGAAACAGAACGAGTCTCGTGGAAAAAATCATCCTTAGAACATTTAAATGATTATTCCAATGAAGTTCATCGCTTAGTAGAAGAGCGCCTTATGCCTGTGCTAGCTAGATCGAGTGAGTTACGTGATAAAAGGTTTATCGACGACTGTTTTAATCTGCTAACTTCGATATTTCACGAGGCAGCAAATAAAACTCTCCCTAAAACCAAATACTGTAAACATTTAAAACCGTACTGGAATCAATCATTGAAAGCTCTAGTAATTCAAAAGAAATCCACGTGGAATCAATGGATTATGCATGGAAAACCGCGCTCTCCGGGAAATGTTCAATGGGAAGCATATAAGGATGCAAAAAGATGTTTTAGGCGGGAATTGAGAAAATGTGAGCAAAACTATGAAATCCGATGTCAGAAGGAGATTGACGAGCTAGAAGAAATATCTTTAAACCAATTCTGGCATCTGGTTAAAAAACGGAAGCCACGATCAGCTCCGAATATTGCAATCAAAACAGATGATGGAGTTATATTGACTGATGATAACGACGTCACAAATGAATGGAGATCTTATTTTATGAAATTGGTGTCTGCTCATGGAAGTGATCAAGATGACTATGATAATATGTTTTTTCAAAATGTTAATAATGATATCGCCAGAATGGAGCATGAAAGCTTTCTAAACAATGATCTAGCATTCGAACAACCTGTTTCTGTAGCAGAAATTGAAAAGGTTATTTCCAAGCTTTCAAAAAATAAAGCCCCTGGTTGGGACCAAATATGCTCAGAACATTTAATCAAAGGAGGTACAATCGTTTTAAACGTACTTGTAGAATTATTTAATTGTATAATATCTTTGGAACATATCCCTGAGAATTTCAAATTGGGTGTCTTGATTCCGTTATTTAAAGGCGGTGTAAAAGATCCCTTAAATAAGGATCACCACAGGGGCATCACACTGATGACGTCATACATGAAAATAATGGAACGGTTAATGATGATAAGAAGTGAACAATGCAATTGTCTTGAACCCAAGTCTGAAATGCAAGGTGTTGGTCTTCCAAAATGCTCAAGCATACACACGTCACTTCTAGCCAGAGAGGCTATATCCCATGGACTTGAGTTAGGCAATGACGTCATCGTGACGTCACTAGATATTAAAAAAGCCTTCGATAGTGTGTGGCACGATGGTCTATTATATAAATTATACAATCAAGGTATTAATGGCAAGTTATGGAGGTTAATCAAATTATCATATAATGGCTACAGATGTACAATTAAGGCTTCTCCAAACTGTCCCATGTCTGAACCTTTTGTTGTTGAAAAGGGGGTCCACCAGGGCGGAATTTATTCTATGGAATTGTATGCCAGATTTACAAATGAATTACTAAATGAAATACAAAAATGTAACATTGGTAGCACTATATGTTGTATTAACTCAACAAGCCCCACATTTGCAGATGATACTGTCTTAATTGCATATCATGCCAAATCAATGCAGCAACTATTAGATAAGGTGTATCGATACAGTGTTAAATGGAGATTCCAATATCACCCAGACAAATGCCAAACAGTCGTTTTTAGTAATCAAAGGGATCCGCCTAAACCCCACTTACTACTCGGGGGGAAACAGTTACAGGTAGTTGATTCAATGCAGCATGTAGGATTACACCTTACACCAAAATCAGATTTAAGCTATGTAGACAATGCCGTCTCTAAAGGAAGGCGTACTATGAATGCCTATATTGGTGTGACATCAACGATCAACAACCCCACGAACCCCTTAACTGCCTCAAGATTGTACTGGTCGATATGTATGCCATCTCTAACATATGGCCTGGAACTAATTTCTGTGAACGAGCAAGCATTGAGTAAACTGGAAGGAGGGCATAGAGAAATTGCTAAAAAGATTCAAGGAATTTCAGCAAAAACTTGTAATCCCGCGTGCACAGCAACACTAGGGTGGCACTCAATATCAAGTAGAATTTTCATTAGTAAACTGATGCTACTTTGGCAGCTGTTAGCACTTCCTATCACAAATGTGTATAAGAAACTGGTCATAGTAAGATTAACCTTTGCAACGCACTATAACCTTCATAAACTGTCCCCAATTGGAGATTGTCTTAAGATAGCTAGATCGTTTGGACTTCTGGGTGATGTATATGAAATGCTTAATGTTGGAACTATTCCAAAATTGCAATGGAAAAGACGTGTGAAAAATGTTGTGTATGAACGGGAATTAAGCAATTGGAGAGTACAGTGTATTTTGTTTGAAAAGTTGTCTTTATTCAGAATGGTTCAAAAAGAGATAAATCCCCTTGTATGGTGGACCCTAGCAAAATGTAATCCCATGCTACTTAAACCATGTAGAACCATGGTTAAATTATTAACGGGTGAAGGAAATCTCATGGTTAACTGTAAACGGTGGTCGGGTGGCAAGATAAATGATCTATGCTTGGTATGTGGCGAAGCTATTGAGAATTTAGTTCATATGGTACTAGAATGTCCGGGGCATAAGGCAAAACGAAAGGATATTGAGAATATTCTTATTCAGATGTACCTTGATACCCCTCTCCCACCGAATGACGTGTTATTACCGATTTTATTTGGCGAAAATAATGTACTGACAGAGGATCAATATATTAAGATAGCTCTGTCAATTTATGGAATGTATGAGGCAAGACCAAATGTAGATTTTTGATTAGTTAACCATAATTTTAGGTGGAGAACTTGTTTTTCTTATTGCATGTAACAGATAGTAGTAACTTGACGGCGTCAACGCGGTAGCCTGACGTCCGTCATCACCAGGGATTGGTTGTACATAAACATTTTAATTGTTTTTTTTATTATTGTATGTAACATAATAATCTCAACCCCTTATGTAATACTTTATATAACACATGTAAACACACCAAGTCTGGTGGATAAAATAAACATAAATAAATAAATAAAAGCATCTACATATCTCGGAATGTCAAATCTGACTTTAGATTTAAGATTTGACCTTCAATGACATACTCAAGGTTAAAAAGTGGTTAAGAATGTTAACAAGGTATTTTCTCAACTTGTTTCAAATTGACCAATTTTTTTTCAAAATCATCTACAAGTCCTCAAAAGTTCAAATTTGACCATGAAAATTTTCAACCATTATTTAATTTTCCAGGTAGTGCATTCTGCGAGTCAATACAACTTACGTCTGGTTTATCATTTGTGGAAGGCACTTACTCAAAAACCATGGACCTGTACGATGGAAGACCGACTTATAAAAAGGATGATGCCGAAAGATACATGTATTATATCGCTAGAGATAGGATACGCTGGAATGTTGGTGCAAATATTGGGGACACCAGTGTTTTCGCATTAGTTTCTAGTATTGCTATGAGCCCTATAGATGTCGTCCCAGTGTGGAGGATAGCCTCGGGAGGGGTTTTAGTGGATGACCCAACGATGAAAGCTACATGTTTAGACCGTAATCACTTTTCTATTTTGTTTCTTCACCTTACCTATACGATTATCGTGACAAAGAATTGTTTTATACTTAAATGATATCAAACGTGTTGGAAGCGAATACTGTTCCATAATTTTATTCCGCTGTAAAAGTAAATCTAGCCCTATTATCCCAAGGAAATACATGTATAGTCTGCCGGACTGCATATCTTAAATTCCTCAGTACTCACATAACATTTATCTGAGATCTTTTCATATTTTCGCACCTTAGTGACGATACTCTTTGCCTACTATGTAGGAATGTTTGGTAAATTTGGTCCATTAGTTGCTGAGAAAATAGTTGTCAAAAAGTGTCTCATTTTTGGGAAACCCAATATATATATAGGCTTGGCAATAAAAATGGGACACTTTGCATCATTCTGAAAAATGCTGAAGATCACGAAAATGAACTATGTGTAAGATTCCAAGATTTGGAATCTAATTGGCTTTAATAAGATATGTGGAGGTTATTTTCAAAAGGTGGAGTGAAGTACTAGTACCTAGTTTGGTCAATAGAGGGAACATTAATCTGTCCCCGGGAGGATTTTCCCCGGGAATTTCACTTTAGGTGAGTAGTGTAATCAACAAACGGCACCCTTTTCAATCCCATCATGCATGTCTTACTTCAAATAAGTACGTTTTCTGATTGGTGAATTTCCACTTGGGAATGCACCTTATTAGTTTTGGCATGAAGCTCAATTTGATATGAAAGAAATGGTAATCGAGCTAATTTGTAATTATACGTACACGCCAGCAATATTTTGGTTGATTGATAAATGAGAAATAGGTTTTTATATGTGACTATAATAGGATCGATCAACCTGGTATCAAGAAACCGTCCTACATCAAATTCCATTGTCATTTGTAAAGTAAGGAATGTATGTAATATTTGCAAAGTGAAAATTAAAATACAATCATTTAAATTGTCACTAGCGCGCGGTAATTTAGAAGATGCATAATGATTGATCTCAGACCTAGGGGCTCCAAGGGGGAAAATGAAATATTTATTGAAAGTTAATGAGGTCCACGATGAGGTCTTGCAAAAAATGCAATGTTTGACATTTATCCTTCAAAAATAACGTAGTGTTACTACTAACTGTACCATCGATTCTGTGAATAGAGTACGAATGGAATAGTGGTCCGATTATTTTAGGGATCGAGTTTCTCTTGGCAATGTTGCACTCCCGGGGTTACAATATCATACAATTTTCAACATTTGCAAAGGCACGAAGGGAACCCTGCATTTGAAACATTATTGATATTATGATTTCTCTCGCGTGTCAGACAAGAATATGGTCTGGTTCCAGTGAAGATGTCCTACTTGCTTATAATCTACGGGGGCGGTTGTGATAAAAATCAAGAGGGGCAAACCGCTGAAGAAAATTATTGGCTTCTGTACTAGATCCGATCATCTGATTAGCCGAACAGACAATTACAAATGAACGGATGGACACTTTTTTCTACAATTTATATTCTTAGATAACATTTGTTTTAAAAAGGATATTATATATCCTATGGCTTTGAAAAAATATCACTTATATATTGATATCTTCGCAAGTGAGCGCAGCGAATGAGTGAAAATACTGATATCCATGAGTGGATATAAGTGATATTTTTGAAAAACCATAGGATTGTCCGTTTATCCAATGGGGAATTATTATCCAGCGAACATCAAATAGTCAGATAAATTTCAACAAGATTTAGTTTAACATTAATACATGTACGCCTTCCAATGGAAGTTCCATTTCATATGCAATAATTCAACGAATGTCATAAACGTGACGTAACAGGGTGGTTTGTATTTAATGCGAACGCCGTAAAAACTAGAGCCAAAAAATAAATAGAAGTATAAAGAAACGTTTTGCTGAATTAATAAAAAAAATTGAAAAAATCAAAACCATCGAATATCACTTTTTAAACCATCGAATATCACTTTTAAAACCATCGAATATCACCTTTCAAAAAGTGATATTCGATGGTTTCAAAAGTGATATTCGATGGTTTGGGAATTGTTTGCGAAAATATGATATTTTCATCCACGTATCAATTATATCTTCACGTGATGTTCGATCTATATCCTTGTAACCATGGGATAAATTATTTTTCAATATCATACATCCCTTTAAAGGTTTGACAGACTTAACTGCCAACAGTTTTTTTTTATTTTTTGCGCCTCCGAATTGTCACAATATTTTCGAAGAAGGAGCTTAAACATCAATTTTGTGTTCACTAAAGTTAAATTCAATTTTCTATTTATTAATTTATATGTTTGTTAGAACTTCGGATTGATGGATATTCGTTACATGAATCGTGGAAATTACCCACCTATTGTTAATGATGAAAATTCAGAAAAGGGAGGGATTTGAACTCTTCAGCCCTACACATGTTTTTTTCTCTACAATTCAAACTCAATTCAAAGACTAAACATGTAGTCAAATACGCTCGTAGAAGGGGCTAAATGTTGCTACACTTGCGGGGACGAGTGTACTATTGAATTTAAATGCTTTCACAACTATTTTACTTAATGTTATGAAATAGAGGAGGTTGGCTGTTCTCGTCCTGTAAGATGTTTCCTCCTTATTTAAACACACGTTCTGAATGTCATTTACGTTAAGTTACATATTATAATTTTGTACCAAGTAACACAATCTAGTCGAGCCGGCTTTAAAAAGTCTCCGGTGTGGAATTTTTTGGTTTAAAATAAGCTGTAATTTATTCATTTTGTCCCTCGCTTTTAACCTTGGTGGAATAACACAGGCATCCAGGATAAATCAAATGACAAAAAGAAACGATCGTACGCAATCAGATCTCATCATCTTTAGTTGAAATCAATAAAGTGAGGCATTGCACAATGCAGTGAATGCATCAGTTAAATACCATATAAACAGTTTTCAATTCATACCGTAATCGAGTGATTGCCGGTAGTGACCAAATACAAACAGAACCCAGAGATGACCGATTTATCATATCTATCATGTTTTAGAGTCGATAAGTATAAGCTGTATAAAGTTTATCAGTCATTTATTTTTTGAAGAACCTATATCACTGATGATCCATTCATTTACGCTGGTTACAAAATGTTCTAACCTAGATCTAGAAGGTATGGTTTTCCTTTTCCCTTATTTCACTCGTAGGTATAATTCCTGCGACATTTTATCATAAACGCATGTCAGTATCATATATTCAAGAAAATGAACATATTAACGAAAAATACTTCAGACAACAACATAATCACTGAGGAGAAACGTGATGCAAAAACACCGTGTTTTGGCATCAAGATGTCCAAGCTTCCGGTGATGGATTTTCGAAGATATTTTGTTTTCCCCATTTGAACCCATTTCTTGGACGAGTCTCTAAATAATCATATGTACGTGCACTTAAGACACGATCTATGATTTTTAAAAAAAGTTCTTAATATTGGTTTAGCATCATTAAGAAGCGAACAATTCACTGTTTTAGTTCCTCGCTTTTGATGCAAATACACCACTCTGTTTATTATCAATGATACAAAAACACCAATGAGCTGATGCAAAAACGCCAATATGATGTATTAATTAATTTCATTAGAAACATATATTCATGTTTACATGTGTTAGTGGTGCATGAATGAAACGCACGATTCAGTGGCCCATGAATGAAATGCATCTTGTCCGCTTTTAAATGTATTTGTATCAAAATGGCCGTAGACTAACCAAATATCAAAATGGTCCAGTAGTAGAGATGCCCTGTTTTGAAATTGAAAATCCACCATGCAAGAAAATATTCGAAGTACAAATCATAGCCAGCAAATTAATTACATTGAGGGCCCTAGGAAATTATCTTCAAAGTTTAAGCATTTTTAAGGCCTAGGTCATATTTTCTACGGTGACCGTACATTCCTATGGTCGCCTTGGAATTTATGCGGGCATATACTTTAGCAATTACTCCTACTGCAGTTTTGCTACTGTAGCCATGCGGAGTATTTTGATTTCGCATGGCCTTTGAATGGTAATGCACCATCAGTGAAGGGCGTCTTAATGGAGGGCGTAGTTTTTCTTGACAAAAAACATTGTACAATTAAGGCGGTCGCGGGGGTAAACCATAAACTCTAGGATAAGCCGCAAGTCGACTCTAGGCCCAACGGCCACCACGGGACCTTTCCACGGTCCGTCAGCGGCTTGTTTATTTGTACAGTGAATAGAAAAGGTTAACTCTGACTTTCTACGGGGACTCTACGGCCTTTAAAATCTTGATACACCATACATAAACCGTAAAACTACCGTAGTCACATTTGCAACGGCGACCGCACGGTTTTACCTTTTACGCCCAATAGCCATTATACATGTACGTCTGCCGTGAAAATTTTATGTTCAGATATTTTAACAGTCACATTTGCTTGGAAAGTCGTATTTTGTTTTTGTGAAAATAGAAAATTTATGGGTGCTGTACGACCTTTTAAATTATGACTGACAGTCACCATAGGGCGTCTTCGCAGCGGGCGTCGTTCTTGACAAATGCCAAGGCAAACACAAGGCGGCCGAGGGGGGCACGTATGGCGATACTACTGACGTGTCGCAAAAAGGTGGCGCATTTGTTTTTTAAGGGTATCGCGTGAATGTAACTTTGATTCCCCGGATTATAATATAATATTCTAATTAAAGTTACATATCATTTTAAAGCTGTTTCGATGAAGTTTTTAGGTCAACTACACTCCGTTCACGATTCTTGCGCGTTCTTTTTAAAAACGAGTTTTTTACCAAAACACCTGGCAAATATCCCCTGTTGACACGTTACATTTTGAATTATTTTTCGTCTTTAAACGCTCATAACTCAAATAATATATGACTATCATACTTATTTTTCGTCTTGATGAAGGTAGATGGAAGTTTTTTTTCAAAGGATGAATTTAAGTAAGCGTCCCATATTGTGACGTCATAAAGTTTGAAAAATAGAATCTGTTGACAGCGACCTTTTTTTGCTCATTTTTTGTTACCTTCAACTTTT